TTCATGCGGACATAAAAATTGCATTTCGTGATAGCTGGATGGGCGGAGAAATTGCCAGGTTCAAACCTCTGCCATGCTTTTGGCGCGAAGTTCTGATAGTTTTGAAACGCAGAAGAACAGTTGAGCAAAAAAGCATGAGGAAGATCGTCCGGGTAAAGTTGGTCTTCATGCGGACATAAAAATTGCATTTCGTGATAGCTGGATGGGCGGAGAAATTGCCAGGTTCAAACCTCTACCATGCTTTTGGCGCGAAGTTCTGATAGTTTTGAAACGCAGAAGAACAGTTGAGCAAAAAAGCATGGAGAAGATTGTCCGTGTCAAGCTCTGGAACCAGGCAAGTCCTGCATAGCAGCAGCTCGGCGAACGTTGTTGTATCTCCCTTTCTTTTCTATGCGCAACACACATCCGAGTTTTAATCCTGCGGATTTTCTTTGTGTCGTCTTTCTAATAAGATAAAGAAGGGGGCACACTAGTGAAAAAGGCACAGTGGTTGTACGTCTCTTTGCATTTCCCCGCCCATCCAGTTGTGGCGGAATGCGCTTTTGAATGCCGTCAATGAAACACTCGGATTTTGGCTAATCACAAAACATGCTGATCAAGCTGCTCCAGTAGGAGACCAATTCGTTTCTTATAGTTAGTTCTGCTTTTTGAAAGAGTTCAATGCAAAATGAGCAGTAAGCGAAGAAACTGTGAAGACTCAGGCGCATTGTCCCTTCTCAGTTGATACTTCTTTTTTTCTGGAGGGAGGGGTGCGCTTTGTAATAAGAGAATAATTCTCTATCCCCTCCCATGTCTCCGCCCATAATATCGTCGTGGAACTTCAGTCCAAAGCGGTGATGTCAGGAAACCAACATTGTTCGCCATATCCATGTGAGTGTTTTTGTTCTATCACTGACAAGCCGCTTATCTATCAAGGCTTTCATTGATGATGAAAAAGACCCAGTGGTTATTACTGATATCGATCTCGCGCGGGATTAAAAATGGAAAGTGACGAGCTCTAGGTGTTGGGCTAGGGCCCCGTGACAAACGTTGATATTGACTTCAATTTTCAAGTGCTCAGGTTTAGCCTAGTGATCATAAGAACAGTCAGAAGTAGTAGTCTGCTACCGTTGTTTATAGGCTCACAGACCGAAGCTGAAGCAACCACAACCAGAACATCCCGAAACCCTCCACTCCGAGGGGCAGGACATCGATGCGCACTTTCTTTGGACAAGGCGACTACTGCCTTTTGGAGGGATATTGCCCTTTTGGGACTTTTGTTATCATGTCCTTATCCTGCACAAGACTAGATGATTTTCTCAGATGTAAAATTCCCACGGAAGACATGTTCCACGCCGGGTTCGAATGGTGCACGCGGCAACCTCCCGCCCATCTCCGGGATAAGGAGTGTGGCTATTACAATATGCTGAGTACTGCTTCGTAGTACTTCCTCGAGCTCACAGTTTTCCTGCAGGCCACTATTTGGGTAGGTTACTTCGTTGTGAAAATTTCTCAGCTACCTGATCGAAAGGCAACGGTGCCTTTGAGAAACCGGAATTAAGAAGTCGAGAGTACAAGAGGAGACTGTTGAAGTAAGGTAGGCACAGAGTGCTGATTGGCTGGTGCCTGGAAAAATTAGGAAGAGCCAACAGTGGTTCCAGTGTCTTGGAGCCTTTTGTATCAGAATGTTCCATCTCGCTGGTGCGATGCTGAAAAGAGATGGAAGGGTGTTGTTGCAGCCTGAAGAACTGATACCACAGTCGCAGTTATCCCTAAGCTAACAGATTTGAATCGGATGTGGGGGGGTCCTCCGTAATCAGCTCGTTGATGTTGATCTCCTCCTGCGTCACTCATTGGTGCTCAGTTAACCTTCGCGCACTACAATTTCAACGACTCATTTTTTACTCCTCATGAAAGTTGCGTTCGCATTGTTCTGTCTGCAGCGCCATGTGATGTGTCCGTTCTGCCAACTGCCAGCTTCCGCACACTTGCTTAGCGGCCAGTGTCATTTTTTTCGATCCAAGGTAATATTGTTAGGATTTTCTTAACATCTTTCGTTGATTATATAACTGGCAAATTATCTGACAATTTCGAAACAATATCTGACTACGTTGACATCTTAGTAATGAGCAGATCCAGAAGAGGAGAGAGCCAATTTTATTGCTTTTCCTACATTTTTTGAACCTCTTTTAAGCGTCTTCTTTTGTTTTAGGGGTGCTATTCCGCAAAAAATTGCACGCTGTTGTTATCCACAATTATGCTAAAAACACAGTCTTTTGATTCACTGACAAATGGTTGTAGCGTAGCATTTAATTTTCTAACACCGTATGTTTGAGAACTGTACTCGCCTGAAATTCCTAGTTGAGTTGACGATCCGTTGTTACTATATGTTTTTTCAGGTGGATGTCAACGGAGCAGTACGAAGAGCTGATTAGTGTTCTTCCATTGTCTACCGTCGAATATGCGTTCGCTTATGGCTCTGGTGCCCTACAACAAAAGGCGAAAATAAAAATGAGAAAATGATTGATTTTATTCTATGTACTAATGATCCTGTGAGTTTCCATACGGAGAACACCAAGAAAAACTCGTCTCATTATAGTCTTCTAAGGTAGGCGAAGAATTTCGACACTATTTACTATTGCAGCCTCTGAATTCTGAATTTCTCTCTCTCACTCTCTCTCAACCTCTTATATAAGATTTATAGTTCTTGTCTTGTTCGCTGTGAATGAAGGGGCGTGTCAGTCAGGATGACTTTGGCGCGTCGCCAGACATGTTCTCTGTCATTTATTGAAGCGGATGAGCGACAAATCTAGTGGAAAGGACTGAGGAACGATGTGACAGCATTGTCGCTTTACTTGCATCAACAACTAATGGAAACGGGTTCGGCTCTGCGTCAGATCTATGCTGCCCGACGCACCCCTTCATCTGCGTGCCCGTTGCCAGAAATGATTATAATACTGGTGAGCAGGACCCCAGTTATTTCATGAAGTGCAGATACCGCTGTTTCACTAAATAAACTAGCGCCAAAATTAAACGCCAGGGGTATCCCTTATGAACAAAACTTCCAATAAATTTTCTCCCGATGTACTGGTCTTGTAATAGTGGGGATCTTTTTCAGCTGTTTATCTTTTTCTTTGTTTTTACCTAGACTTTAAGGTATATAGGTGCTAAGACATTGGCTCAGTTCCAAACCCGTATTGCTGCTCGAGTTTATTATAATACTCAAGTTCACGTTGGAAATCGGCGAATGAAGTATGGGATCGTATCCACAGAGGATCTCCAACGGGATCTTCTAGACTGGCGATGGCTTTATGTTGCTGGTCGTCTTCATAAGCCAGTTTTGGATGTGAGTCTTCTCCATTTTATCTTCGATGCAATTGGTTTTTATTCAACGAGAAAAAGAAGGACCTCAAGATCCCGGGATTCGGGCTCACTTTATTCCCGTAGAGGTATTTATCGTAGCCGGATTATACAACGACTTTGGGCCGCCAGATATACCTTTAGGTAGAATGGGCAGAAATAAAAGCAAGGGTGATTCAGTGGCAAATCTCGCGATTGCTGTTGTAAATAGTGGCGTTTATTTACAAACATATAGCCACTAACTGACTCCCTAGGGAAGAACAAGGTAAAAAAAAAACCTGGAGAAGCCCTCTAAATTAGGATCTAGTAGCCTCCCTAAACGAGTTTCCGGACTTGCTCTTTTATGCCAGCAAAACGATATCGTGTCGCCTCTGGCTCAGTAGTTCTTTCTTCGCCGTAATCCTTTGCTAAAACCATGTAAGAGCGAAAAAAAGCCAAAAAACACGGCCCAGAAACTGATCTCGTGACAAACAGTAGTCATTGAGTTCTAATGGGCGGGACAACTGGGATGGCATCAGAGTGCCACTTTTTAAGGACGCAGCGGTTCCTTCGAAACATAATATGAAGCATGTACACCGCGAAACTAGGACCCCGACTTTAGAAAGGCTGCAGGCCGAGATGGGCGACAGGCAAAAGGGTCGTAATTTGCCGCTCCGCCGCGTGCGACGTCTTCTTAATTTGTGTTAACCTGTCGATTTGAGCACTGGATTTCGGCATGGGTTAGGAACTGTAGATATTTTATTATTTTCGGTGCTTGCTTGCCTAGTTGTAGCCATCGCGACCTGTAAACCATCGTCATTTGCGGTGGCGCGGACGCTCATCGGGCGAATTACAGACCAGGGTACAAGCATCGTTGCGTGTGAAACACAGGGGGGGGCGGTCGTATTTGGGGTCAAGACAAATCTTATTTTGCATACGTTGCATTTTTGGCTTGTGGAAAAAGGGGTCGTGGGGTCGTAATTAATTACGTGATAATTTGGTTGGTGTTCCCCCCACCACCCCCGCTCGACGACTTTCTTCCGCGAGCTATATAACCCATCACTCGTCCAGTCGGCGATAGAGCCGCGTCGCTGAGAGGCGGGGAGGGGTTCGTACTCACCCGACAATCTCTCGCCCAAGTATCCCTATGCCTGTACCCTGATTACAACTCTCCTTTGGTCACGTGTCACCGCCCCCTCCCACCAACTACCTTCAATACCAGAGGATGACACTAACGAATTGGTTGAGCGCAGTGACTATCTTCAAGTGACTTATGACTACACAATCCTACAAACGATATAGGCTCCTCTAACCATTAAGTTTAATCCTCTACTGTATAAGGCAGGGACGACTCGAAGATGTACATTATACCTAAAATTTTTTGGTGGTGAGACCAACGACGGCTATCAAGAGCAACATCGAGCAGAATCGCCGATGTGCTCTCCAAGCTGCTCTACTACTTCTACCTGATTCGTTCAATTTGGAGGAGTTGTATGAGAAAATCGTCTCATTATCATATACTGGAGACTTTCGAATGTACGTCGGAGAAGATAAAGACAAGGTGTGGCACTTTCATATTTTCAACGCGAGTGGTAATCTTGCTTAATTTTCCTTACGCTTCTTCTGCTTTTGAGAAACATCTTTTTAACAGCTTTTTAAGATTAAAAAAATCGTGCTCGGTTCCATGGAACAGCTATCCGATGTTTATGACCCTCTTCTCGCTGACGACTCGAAACTTGTTGTTCAGAATGGAAAAGTGAGTTCTTCCCTTTATCTCGAGCGGCATAGCAGTAACAAAGTTTTACGTAGCTTTTCAAGACGATGAGAATTGTCAAAATGTCTCATTATCATACGGTTTCCCATCACTGTGGCGTCGCGAAAGTGGGACACCTTTACAAATCGGACTATTTGAGCAAGGGAGAAATATTACAAACTGGTTGAGCACAAGCGTTTCTTCCACAGAGCTGCCAGAGCAGTGATGTAGGCTTGTTGTTGAATGCCAGCTTTTCTTGTACTATTCAGGTACTGCAAGATGGTTCCACTCCCGCGGTTTATCATCGATTGAACCTTTTACCATCAACAGTTCTAAAAAGGATACAGAAAAATTGGAATAAAAGGAATAAATGGCAGAAAGATTCAGAGGAGGTGAGGAATGTGTTACTATGATTGAGCGAGGCATCTTTCATTACATTCTTTCTTTCATCCTTTACTGGAGTTTATCGAATTTTTGACCGTTTCTTCCTTCCGAAGCCAGCACTCGAGCACTCTACTAATCGAGAACTTGTGTTATTCTCTGGAAACACATTTTCTGGGGGGTAAGATATAAGATAGAAAAATGTCTGGGGATTTCCGCACACTTGCTACTAATGGTAAGAATATTGTTCATGTGACAAGAGAATCGTGTTATGCCGCTCTGATGGACTTGGTGATCAACGCCGCGCCTGACAGACGAGTTATCCTGCTGATCATTTGAAGCTGTGTATTACGCGGACGGAAAAACATATCTCCCTTCATGGAGCCTTTTCTCCGCTTGAAGATTTCATAAGAGTTTCGCTGCTCCCCTCTAAAATGATGTGCATCGAAAATCTACATTGCATTGCCACTTGGTTCGCGGCTTGCGACAAATTGCGATTGTCTTGTCTGCCTCTCTGGAAAAATTGAGGTAACTCTAGTTCGCTGCGGACGGTTGGACGTGTCAGGCAGTATGAGTGTTCACACCGTCATAGCCGTTCTCTGCCTTGTTACTGAAGCGCTCATGCGTCAAAAAGTAATAGAAAACGAGTAATACGAATGATACTGTCATATCACTTAGCCTCGTTCTTAACAAGCTGGTGGAGAACGTGTTTGCGCACCGTGCAAACCATGCCAACCTGACACGCCTATCCGCAGTGAACTAGACTATATATAGGTGCCAAGTGGCTCAGCAGCGAAGAATAATGCAAACTGTGTATAACAGCATCTTTCAACGAAAACTTGATATTAACTGGTTTTGATATGCTGCTCAGATGCCGCTCCAGCCTACCGCGTTAACAATAAGTGTGCAGCGTTACGGCCTTTTCCGACTACTATGGTCCGTTCTCTATACACATTTCTACTAGACATGTTCTTTTACATATAAAATGTTCTGTGCTAGGAGCATAGCTTTAGCTACATCATGAACTTGAATGAATGAACTGAGGTGTTCATCCAGTGATAGGAAGTCACTCCATTACTATTGAACCTTACTCATTCAGGTACTGTTCTCCCTAGCGCACCGCCACGATGTCACTCTGCATGTTGAAGGAGCAATTTCGTCCATTGTTGCTCCAGCAGCGCTATCACAAAGTCTCAAGAATGTTGCTTCAGCCGGGTTCTCTCGATCTGTCGTGTATAGCTTAGCCAAATTGGCGAAAATGATGAAAAGTATAGGAAAATAGTAGGATATGTCATTTAGATCTATAATTGTACATACAACTGCTCATCTGTTGAAATGTTTCATGTTACTAGTGCTAGGTTTTGAGTGTTTATCGTTAATAACATTTAGTATTTAATGATGTTTTTTACGTTTTCCAATGTTGATCTGCGATGCTAGCTTTTCACAGTTAGATGCATAACGTTGTACAAGTTCCCATGTGGCCTGAAAGAAAACGGATAAATGTTAGACTGAGCAGTGTCTATGTTGTTGTGAGGTATGGACTGACCTTGTCACACATTCTTCGATCTGGTGGCATTTGTGTTCTTTTGTCAAGTCCTTGAATCCATCGACGGGTATCGACATTGCGATGTACTGAGTATTTGGGGTTGGTGGCTAGTGTTACAAGGAGTTCAAGCACCTGCAAGATTAGAACCACATAGACAGTCTCTCGTGACGGTTCACCTCCCCCCAGTCTGAGAATGGAAAATGTGATGTCCTTAGAATGTGCAAGCGTGCGTATGGGTATGTGACCAGCAAAACGCGAATCTGTTCTGACCCATCTTACAGGATGCGGAAACGATTGTTAGTTAGCTACAGGCATAATCCCTGCAACAATAAGGGCCTCTTCGGGGCATGGCTTGGGGCGCAGCATACCTGATTTCCCATAAGTTGTAGCTTCAAGATGGCATCATTGATGGAAAGAGGGTGGTCCACTGCGCGCCGCATCAGAGCCCTATCGTTTTTCTGCATCTTCGTGTAAGCAGCTGCTAAGTACTGATTTAGTCCAGCTTAACGCTTTGGGACATATTTTCGGGGATATGTCGTCTCCCCGAGCTTTCCAACCTGCTTCTGCCGATTCGTCCTCAGAGGCGTCCGGGAGAATTGACATGCTGCTTCGAATTAAAAAGGACCTGAGTGATTCAACCAGAAAACTTTCAAAAGGGCTCTTGGATTCAGTCACGGAGGCATTACCCGCGGTTCAGTTAAAAATAAAATTCCTAATGGAGTCCGCTTGACCTAAGTCTTGAAAGGAATGAGAATGGTCCTATCCGGGACCAGAGAACATTTCTCACTTATTCAACTTTCTTTCCGTCAACCTATTTCGTCGCTAGGGCGCAGTTCTTTTTGGGTAAGAACGTGTTATTTATCAAAGGCTGTTCAAATACCGGGACCTGATTAAGGTTTTTTGTCAACAATATTGCTATTGTTTATTGTATCACCGTTGATGTTGTTCATCTTCATGATTTGTTGTAATTTCACACGTTGCAAAACAGTTAGATGATTTGCCGGCGCTGTACGCCAGCATGCCTACGATTCTTATGCATTTCAATT